TTCTCAGTTTCTTTTACCTGACACACAGAAGGATTCTATTATCACAAAATGGCATTACACTGGAAAGAACATAACAGATTTCTTGATACAAGTAGTTTTTTTCTAATAAGAGTTTAATTTGAATCATTTTATGGTAGTGGTGGTGGTAGAGAGGCATGCAAGATCCACAGGACAAACTAAATATTCCAGTTAGTTGCCCATGCAAAATACTTCATCTTGACTCTTGTCTACTGTTATCTCCATTATATACAGGAATAATTTCTGAAGACCACAGTGCTTAATGTCACGCAAAATTATTTATCATTCTTTACACAAAGTAAGTTAATGTTTCCAAGTATTGTGTCCCATATAACCTATGGAAAGTTTTATGTTAGTTTTATATAACATAGAAAGTTGCCTTGCATTATGCCTGGTACATGCACATTCAGTACATATAAATTTCTAGCCATGACCTTGTAGACACTCTACTTGTTATGTTTTTCTTCTGTTCAGTGTATCTTAGTACAGTTAAGTAAGGCAAAGCTTAAAGAGGCAATTAAAGAAAAAAAAAATCAACTCTTTAATTTTCTATCTGATCCCTGTTTAGTTCTTCTGAAATAAGAGTAAGATAATCCTGTGTTTTTTTGGTGATACCACTAATTAGATAAATAACCAGGTCAAAAACTACATGGCGGCTAGAAGAACATAGGCACTAGGGTTTGTTTTTTTTCCACAGCTTTGGATGAAAAGCAAAACACTTCCTATAACTATAAATAAGACCCAAATCTTTCAATTAAATTCAATTCCTGAGCATAAGAATTAGAAGGAAAAAAAAACTATAATGCAGGAAAACCTGGGGGATAGATATTCCCAAGAATCACTGTCCTTCTCTTTTCTCTACTTGCATCTCCTGAAACTTTCTCTCTTGATATGGTGTCATCTTCATCTCTCTTTTATGTGTTTACTAATTTTAATAATCCCAAGCAAATGGGTACTTTGTACTGGTCAAACAAACCGTATCCTGTAATAAAGAATCTGATTCCATTTTCATGCTTGACTTTTGCTATCTTCCAAACGTGACAACTCTACCTTCTTCTGCCTCACAAATAGGTAACCTGGAAACATGTGACTGCTAACCAGCAGGCTGGCTTTTCAAACCCACCAGCCACTCCTCAGAAGGAAGGTTGGTCAATCTACTTCAGTAGTGATACTGCCTCACAAACCCAAGGAGGGGTGGCTATGAGTAGGCTCCGACTTGGTGGCAGTGTGTTGTGTTGTTGTTCGTGATAAGAAACTCTAGATGCTCCCTCCAATGACACTGGTGGGAAATATCACCAGAGCCACAACTCCTAATCACCATAAAAGTTGAGCCAGTCTCCCTTCCTTTCTTGGACATGTAAAAATCTACCCTAGTCTCCCCAGAAAGCTCATTTTGTGGGAAATAAACATGTTCATACCTCATTGGTATGTGTGTGTATGTATGTAACATCACCAGCCTAAATATGCAAATCAAATTGGGGAGTGAGCGGTAGTCCATCTTGTCTCTGTGGGGTGAACACACACTTCTCATTCTTCATACCAACAGATTCTCCTTTTATAGTCAATCTTAGATGTTATAAGATATAAAAATTAGAGTCTGATCTCTAACAATAGTTTCTCCTCAACTTAAGCCTAGATACCTTTCTCTTCATTAAAGTAAAAGAGCTCATCCAAATTCTGGAAAAAGCTGAGTCATTTTTCTCAAACTATAATCTTGTATGAAAGGAAGGTCAATCAGACTTGATGGCTTCAAGGTTTACTCTGGCTTCTGGTATA